GAAAAGAGAAGAAAAAGATGTGCGACATAAGTAATCTACACAAATTTCCTCCTAGGATTTCCTGACAAATTAGTGGCTTGCGCTAAAAGCAGTTAAGCATAATATTTTCAGAAGCATATCTCAAGTTTTGACATTCTCTCCTGCTGCATATACTGCGGTGGGTAAGTTATGGGATCATTTTCTCTTTTTACGAAGAGAGAATATAACTTTGGCCAACACTGCCAATGGCTCATGCTTGATTTCATCTTTTGATGGTCCAAAACAAATATCATACCTACTTGGGTAGTTTATCTGCATATAAATACCCTTTTTTCAGTAAGATTATGTACCATTTCTTAAAGTTGTTACATTTCTTATCTTTCTTGTAAATAAAGTTCTATTTTGGAAACTTACAGAACAAGGTGTTGAAAAACGTGGGCGTTTACAGATGTAAAGTAATCTTTCTTTTTTTTTTGCTTGGCAATATGGTCAACTTGAAGGGGTATGTACAGGAGGAAGATACAGAGGAAAGGTAATGGCTTGAAAAGTTCTATTGTCCCAGGTGGGCCAAACAAAGGAAAGAGGAAGAAATCAAAACATCTAAACGCTAAGTCAAATAATTGCATGAAAAACCGTATCAGATCCATTGTTTGTACTTTCATAACACTTTTAAAGATCAAAATAAGCCCATTCTTCTTCCAACAACCTTGCGTACCGTTGCGTTCTTATGTTTGTTTATTTAAGCATGTGTGCAAGCCTTATCCCTTCTACCCATGCGGTAGGCATGAGGGTCAAAAGTATTACGCGGTATGTCCTGAATATTTCTGGCAGAGACCAAAATGTAGATGGATGTGTCAACTTGATTATCCTATTCCGTACAAGAAGGACAAAGTATACGGTTTGGTTTTCAGGGTTTTTTCCTCCAGCATTATGGTAATATGTCATTCCTCTATGTTCTGTGAATGAAAACCTTTTCGGTAGACTTCATGTATTCATTGAAAGCTAACGAAAAAACAATCAGGAAGGATATTATGAAAAATGGACTTGTCGAAGCCACACTGGAAATTTATGAGGATTTCAAATATTGCAAGCATGGAATCGAGTAGGATAACTTAAGTGAGCATATGTTCTTATAACTATAACTTGCGAAAGCTGGTTCATCTAAAGCCGAAATTCGCTGCTTGTTCAAATACTTCATGGCTCGGCTACTAATTTAAGAGATTTAGCACAGTGCTGATACTATTATTGGTAGTCAATCAATCAAAATTCTTGGATGGGGTGTTGAGAATAGAACTGATTACTGGATTGTTGCTAGCTCTTGGAATACGGACTGGGGCGAAAAGGGTA